AGGTGTTCTGTTTGACTCTCTGACTGCCAAGGTTATCTCAAAGGCGGGGGCTCCAGGTTTGTGTCCCTTGTTCCGTTGGGTTTCTTAAAGAGCTTCCACACCCTAACCTAGGGCTGAGGACATTCTTCCTCCCAACTTTCTCTTTCCTTTGCCGGGAGGGGGAATATCTCAGGCATCCATTATTCTTCCCCTGAGATGAAGGCAGCACTGAGCAAGACTGTCTTGTTATCAGAAAATTAGAGCGGGAAAGAGGCTTGCACCGGCCACGGAGACATCTTAATAGACGCTTTGGTTGTTAAGCAGAAGTTTCTAGATCAGTTTAATTGCCGTAAATGTTATTTGCCTTCCCTGTTATGATAAGGCCTCCATTCCGCAGGATCTTTTTTTTCCCCCCTCTCCTCTTCTCTTTCAACAGTTTCCCTTTGCTCTGAGGCTCGCATCGGCAAGTTTAATGAAACCCAAACAAAGGAAGCAGAGATAGGCTCTTGGAGTCCGAGTCTCACGCCCACAGACGAAGCCGAGCCCCGGAGTGACGGCTCCAGACTAATGAGGCTTCGCTGCTTAATGCAGTTGACAGGATGCAGCCCTCCAGCCTAGCCCGGGAAATGAAAGCCAGCCCCGGAGCTTAATTGCGTCTGCCCTGAGCAAAGGGGCCAGATGGGGACTAAGTACCACACAGAGCTAATGGGAGACGCTCATAGCCCAAGACGACTTGCTCTGTACCCCTCCTCGCCCCGCCCCGCCCCCATACCACCCCCAGCCTGGGTCATCTGAGCATGCGTTATTTTCTCAGGGGAGGCAGTTGCGGAAACTTCCAGATCAGGAGTCTCAGCTTGGTGCGGGTGATACTCTGGGTGCTTTAACTTCTTGACTGTATGCCTGACCTGTGTATTATGGGATGCTAAACAGCACCTCTGGCTTCACCCCACTAGCTGCCAATGGCAAACTCCTCTGCTCAATATGATACCCCAAGAATATCTTCAGAAATCTCCAGATATTCTATATAAGGGAGTGGAAGCTCCTATTTTATGGACATTGAGAACACTACCTAGGTGTGTGTGCGTGTGCGCGCGCACTTGCACACGTATGCAAGAGGGCTTCCGTGCCTCCCCCGTACTGAAATGATAGATAACGTTTTTTTCCTTTTATTTTTTATTTTTATTAATTACAGTTTATTCACTTTGTATCCCCCCTGTACCTCCCTCCTTCCTCCCCTCCCAACCCCACCCTCCCTCTTCCCCACCCATGCCCCTCCCCAAGTCCACTGAAAAGGGAGGTCCTCCTCCCTTTCCCTCTGATCCTAGTCTATCAGGTCTCATCAGTAGTGGCTGCATTGTCTTCTTCTGTGGCCTGGGAAGGCTGCTCCTCCCTCAGGGGGAGGTGATCAAAGAGCAGGCCAATCAGTTCATGTCAGGGACAGTCCCTGTCCCCATTACTATGGAGGCCACTTAGACACTGAATTGCCATAGGCTACCTCTGTGCAGGGGTTCCAGGTCATCTCCATGAGTGGTCCTTGGCTGGAGTATCAGTTTCAGAAAAGACCCCTGTGCCCAGACTTTTAAGATCTGTCGCTGTCCTTGTGGAGCTCCTGTCCTCTCCAGGTCTTTCTATCTCCCCCTTCTTTCTTAAGATTCCCTGCACTCTGCCCAAAGTTTGGCTATAAGTTTCAGCTTCTGTTTTGATACCCTGCAGGGTAGAGCCTTTCAGAGGCCCTCTGTGGCAGGCTCCTGTCCTGTTCCCTGTTTTCTCCCTCCTCCGATGTCCATCTTCTTTGCCTTTCTGAATGGGGATTGAACATCTTAGCCAAAATTCTCCTTCCTGATTAGCTTCCTTAGGTGTACATATTTTAGTATGTTTATCCTATATTGTATGTCTAGTATCCACTTATGAGTGAGTATATACCCTGTGTGTCTTTCTGCTTCTGGGATACCTCACTCAGGATGATCTTTTCCAGTTCCCACCATCTACCTGCAAATTTCATGATTTCCTTGTTTTTTATCGCTAAGTAATATTCCATTGTATAGATGTACCACAATTTCTGTATACATTTCTCAACTGAGGGACATCTGGGCTGTTTCCAGCTTCTGGCTATTACGAATAAAGCTGCTACAAACATGGTTGAGCAGATGTCCTTGTTGTATACTTGAGTGTCTTTTGGATATATGCCTAGCAGTGGTATAGCTGGATCTTGAAGAAGCGCTATTCCTAGTTGTCTGAGAAAGCACCAGATTGATCTCCAAAGTGGTTGTACAAGTTTACATTCCCACCAGCAGTGGAGGAGGGTTCCCCTTTCTCCAGCTCCTTTCCAGCATGTTGTCACTTGAGTTATTCATCTTAGCCATTCTGATGGGTGTAACATGAAATCTCAGAGTCGTTTTGATTTGCATCTCCCTGATGACTAAGGAAGTTGAACATTTCTTTAAGTGTTTCTCTGCCATTCGATATTCCTCTATTGAGAATTCTGTTTAGCTCTTACCCCATTTTTTTTTAATTGGATTACTTGATTTGTTGTTGTTTAACTTCTTGAGTTCTTTATATATACTGGATATTAGCCCTCTGTCAGATATAGGATTGGTGAAGATCCTTTCCCAGGCTGTAGGCTGTCATTTTGTTCCTTTGCTTTACAGAAGTTTTTCAGTTTCATGAGGTCCCATTTATTGACTGTTGATCTTAGAGCCTCTGCTGTTGGTGTCCTGTTGAGGAGGCTGTCTCCTGTGCCAATGAGTTCAAGGCTCTTCCCCACTTTTTCTTCTGACAGGTTTAGTGTGTCGTTTTTATATTGAGGTCTTTGATCCACTCGGGTTTTAGTTTTGTGCAGGGTGATAAGTATGGATCTATTTGCATTTTTCTACATGTAGACATCCAGTTAGACCAGCACCATTTGTTGAAGGTGCTTTTTTTTTCCGAAATGGAGAAATATTTTTAAAGAACATTGTTTTTCTGTTTCATCTCCCCCAGAAACAGAAGTAAGCCATAAGCTGGGCTTTGAACTGTAAACGTCCCGCAGGCTGTGGGTCTTATGGGTATATCACACTGCCTCTTTCTTCAGTTTTCTTTAGCATTTGGGGCTTGAAAAATCTTCAGCCCATGCAAAAAAGGGCCTCAGCTTCTCGAGGGCAGCGTAGAGGTTTCCGAAAACAGCTTTCAGATGGCTCTGACCATCACTAGATAGAAGGAGAATAGGCTGGGCTTACATGCTCCTGGATGTGTTCTGACATGCCCAGCTTCCCCAATGAGAGCACGCTCCATGACAATGGCTATGAACAATCAAGGGCTGCAGATGCAGCCCTGACACCCCCAGCAGGCTCCATCCATCTGGCCGAGAAGTGGGCACTGGCGCAGGGTTGGCCACTTGCCCCTCTCCCTGTCTGTCTAAGGCAGCTGCTGTTTTATATCTGCTGCCTGCAAGGTCTTTCAGGAGGCCAGTGAGGGGAGCAGTGAGGTGGGAGAGGGGCTTGTGATCAAGGTTTCAGAAGATGGAGAACTTGGTCATTTGTGACTATGTGGTTTGCTCAGATTTAGCCAAAAGCATGAAAAAAAAAGAAAAAGAGGAAGAGGGGTGGATAGGAAAACAAAACAACAACAACAAAAACCAGTGCCAGGCACCCAGTCTGTAGTTTGTGTGCTTTGTTGTTTCTTTCTCATTCTTGTTTGTCCGTCCATCCATCCATCCATCCATCCATCCATCCATCCATCCATCCATCCACTCATCTACCCACCCAACATCATCCATTCATACACCTAGCTGCCCACCTATCCGTCTAGTCTCCATCTCACATGCTCCTTCCTCCACCTACCTACGTATCTACCCACCCATTACCTCCTTCTTCATTGCGTTCATCGAGGCGTCCGCACTCCCGAGCTTGCTCTAGCATGAGTTTAGGCCACACCCAGCCTGACGTTCTGAAAGCCGCTGTCTGCAGTATACAAAGGGTTCTCCATATAGAGTTTCTGCTTTTGCTTGTGCGTTTGTTATATGCAGCTCAGGCTGGCCTCATGCACACCATCCTCCTCCTGCCTCGACCCCTAGCCCTGCCGCCAAGTGCTGGGATTACAAACACCTATCACCATGCTGGGCTTTTGAAGTAAATATTTGAACAACAACAACAAAAGTATATGACATAAAATGATAAGTAAGTCCTTATCCTAATGATAAGTAAGTAAGTGAGGGAAGTGTTGCAGAGCAGGGACTCCAGGGAGGAATCAACTGCCTTACAACTTTGTGTACCAGGATGCAGGCTTGGGGACCCCCCTACTGCGGTTCCCAGCTACTGTGCAGAGTGGGGGTGTATGGCCTCAGGCAAGTGACTCCCCTTCTCCAAGCCTTAGCTTCTCCATGTGTTCAGCTGAGGGTGCTGGCATGGGAGTCCCTCAGCCCACACGTTGCACTTGCTAAGAACTGTTAAACCGAGGTCATGCTCAGCTGTATTTTTTTTCCACAGTGCCCACCCATCTCTTCTATTTTTAGATTTCAAAAACATAACTTTTAACCAATTAACTCATCGATGGATTGATTGATTGCGTATGTGTGTGGTCACATGTGTGGAGGTCAGAGGCCAACTTGCAAGAGTCATTTCGCTCCTTCCCACCGTGTGGGACCCGGGCATCAAAGGTCCTCAGGCTTGGCATGGCACCTTTGTCCATCCACTGAGCCATCCCATCGTTTCACACATCCAGCTTCTTCCTCCTTTCTTCTTTTCTTTTGTTACTATTTCTCCCGGAATGATGGAATGATGCTGAGCTTAGGCTCCTCCTGCTTCCTCCTGGGCACTGGCACGACTTGGTGTACTTCCCATACCCTGCCTCGACTGACATCTGCCGCCTGCCCTGCCTGGGGGACCTCCTGTGAGTGGAGCCCGTGACCTAAACTGAGGCTCCACCTGGCACCACTCTGCAGGCTGAAGCAACCAGGAACCAGTCGATGGCGCTCCTTTGTATCTCCAGGGCCCAGGCAGAGCAGGCTCAGCCTTTGACCTTCCCGTCTCTCCTTGTCCCCGCAGACACTCTCTCTGTGCCGCGATGGTCACCGCAGATCCCACGCAGAGACCTTGGCAACTCCATCAAGCACAGGTAGGTAGGAGGCTGTGCCTGTGGGAGTGTGTGTGTGGAGAGGAAGGCTGGTGCCTGTGGGTGCCGGGACCGTGTCCACCCCCAGCTCCCACACCACCGTGCCCTTCTGTCTTTTGCTGGGCCAGGGTGTCTACATCACAGCCTTGCCCTTATCAAATCCACACTGGGCAGTCAGAAGCAGAAGCTTCGTAGTTAGGCTGACCCGGGTTCTAGTCCCTCCTGGTAAAGCTTTGCAGCCTCGAGAAATGACTTAACCTCTCTAGGCTCCATTTTTACTTAACTGCCATTTTTTTTAATTGTTAAAAAGCACACAACATACAATGAGAGAAATCAAAGGAAGACTCTGGGATATCATAATCAAAACCTTTAAAGAAATAACATTAAACTGACAAGCCATGAAACAAGTCTTGCAGGCTACAGAGCGTGTGACCTCAAGCCATAGTTAGAGAAGAAACTTTCTTTTTATCGGGACTTAAGCCAAATTCTGTAAGTCCATACATCCTGCTTATAAATGAGATGATGCATTAAGGGCCATGCACACACCTCACTGATCATAAAGAACTTCAGGCTCTACCCTGGGGCTGTCTACTCAGGAAACTCAAGAGAGCCAGCTAAGCTTATTGCTAGAGGTTAGCCCAGAGCAGCAGGCCAAGAGGCCAATAGCAGGCCCTTCCTAGCGTCCTCCACGGCTGGAAGTTGTTTCCAACAATTTCTTGACTCTCCCAAATTCTGCTTTTACAGGCTGCCCTAGGCTCCTCATAGCCTCAGGGGAGAGTAGGGCAAGTCAGGCCAGAATGGTGACGCTCACTGACATGAGGAAACTGAGGCAGATAAGGAAGGGACTGAAAGCTATTGATGCTCACTCAGCCCGTGTGGTCTGAGATCCCTGGTGAGTATCTGTGCTCAGACCAGCTGGACTTGTTGTTTGCTCCTTCATGGAGCCTTCTCTGCACCATGCAGAAAGCTAGTGTCAGCACTGTGGGACACACGTGCCCCTGGGGAGCTGGCCATTTAGCAGAGGGTCTGCTGACACACGGTGACAGTCCCCAGAGGTATGTCAGAGGCCTAAGGGGAGAAACACCAGGTAACAATACAGACGCTCTGCCTCAGCCTGGGGCAAGGCTGGACTGGGCCCTCCTCAGTGACAGCTCATCAACAGCTCCAAAAGAAAAACGTCAAAACTCGAAACAGGAAGACCTTGGTGTAGCCGTGAGAAACAGTGACAGGCATGACAGTGACCAGGCTGAGCCATGACCAGAGGCTGGGCTGAGGAGCGAAGGGGAGGCGCGATGAGGGCTCTGTGAAACGTTTGTTGGATCAGCTCCATCCCTGAGCTGGCTGCAATCCCTCCATCAGCCCACTCCTGGGTTAGCCATGTGGTCCATTTCCCCATCTCTACTAGCCACCTCTCTGGCCCAGCTACCCCTGGAGTTTGGTCTCACTTGTGGCCCAGTCACACCGTTGGTTGGCTTCCGCCCCTGGGCTTTGTCACCGTTGCACTGTGGAATCCTGTGCTGCCCCAGCTTCAGATACTGGTGTCTGGGAGAGTGAAGCAGACTGATTAACAATCCTGGTCCCAGGAGCTACCTTCCTGATGAGGCGAGGTCCTCCTGATGCCTGTTAACTCTTCAGTCTTGCCCTGCAAACCCTCCCCCCCACCCCCGGCTAGATGTCAGGAAGGACAGAGTCCCAGCCTGGTAAAACAGTGACATTAACATCCCATTCCTGTGTGTTGTTGTTGGGTGTAGTAGCGCACACTAGCAGTCCCAGTACACAGAAGGCTGCGGCAGAGGGTCAGGAGTTCAAGGATAGCCTGGGCTTCATAAAAGCCAGTCTCATAAAACACACCAGCACCACCAGCAGCAGCAGATCTCACTCTCAGTCACTAGAATTATCACAGCAAGAGCCAGGCAACAGAGATCACCCACCCAGGGGGCAGGACAAGCTGGAGAGGAGAGAAAGCAGGCTGCTGTCGGGCCTTCACACCTGCCCGTCCCCATTCCTGTGCTGCTGCCCGAAGGGTCTCTTGCCATCCCCTCCCCTGAGACACCCCAGCTTGCAGAATAGACCCGCTAAGCCCCTCTAAGACCCAAAGGGGCTTAGCTAAGCCAAAGTCCAAAGCTGGAGAGGGAATATTGGCAAGCCCGCACTTCCGCTGTGAATATGGCCGTTTGCTTAGCTGTGGTAGCTCCAGGCTGCCGCTTGCTCGCTCACTTGCTCGCTGGCTCCCTGGCTAGCTCGCTCACTGTGTTCGAGGGACTGACCCAAATCCTGCAAGACGATGGGACAGCAGAGGGAGGCAGCCTCCCTCTGTCAAAGTTCCATGTCTCTGAGTTATATAACCGTGATGACTGCGTCCAGGTTTTCCCGCTGACACAGAGGAGGCAGTGGAGATTAGATACAACCATGGCCGGCGGTGGCACAAATTGAAAATTAAAATTAACTGTGACCTGGGAACCTTCGATGCTTTCGCCTGGCCCAGCCCCACCTCTGTTTCCTATCTCAAGGCAGAAGGCACACCAAAGCACGGGGGAGGGGGTGAACTGCAAGTTAATCTGATGACTTCCAGCCCACACTGGTGACCGTGATGTATGGGGACTTCCACACTGCCTTTGCAGCAGGTGGCAGCGACTGGCAGAAGATGAGCCGATGGTCTGAAAAGGCAGGGGGCAACTCTCCCCTGCTGCTGAATTTGGTGGTCAATTACCCTCTTATAGAACTGAACTTCCCCGGCAATAGGGCACCTGCAGTGTTTGTCGAGTGAATAAATGACCACAATGAACACTCAAGGCAATGACTGTCACAGCCAGTTCGTTGAGCATTGCCTATGTGCCAGATGCTACGGCACGTTCAACATGCTGTCATGATTGCCCCCACGTTAGAGGCAAGGAAACTGAGGCTTCATGGTTTAAGCAACTTGATTAAGCAGGGCTGGACTTACAGGCAGGGCTTATAGGTTTCCTGTTCTAGGGGTACATCCTGCTGGAGACGGGCCTGCGGCCATAGCCTCACCTTGGACGTTTCCTGTTTTTTTCTCACAGGTTTTCCACCAAGTACTGGATGTCTCAGACGTGCACCGTCTGCGGGAAAGGGATGCTTTTTGGCCTCAAGTGTAAAAACTGCAAGTGAGTGATTTCCCTTGAGGGGACTTTTTACCATGCAGATGTCAGCCAGCGTTGCGATGGACGTTGGCACGCTCCGGGGAGTATCAGTTCTTCACTCTGGGGAGAGACATTTCCTTTGTATTTCAGAAGGGTCCCAGGTGAAGCTGTGTGTTCGGGTGGGGTGTCGAGGAGAACAGTTCTGAGAAAAGCCAGAGCTGAGAGGAGAGGGTAGGAAGGCTCCTCCCGTGCCCTGGGGCTGGCAGGCTGTCCAGAGCCCAGGGCCTTTATTATGGTTTTGAAAATGAAGGGTTTCCCACAGTCCCATGTGACTGGACACTTGGTTCTCAGCTAATGTTTTGGGAAGTTGATGATCCTTTGGGACATGGGCTATAGGAATAAGAGCTATTTGTCCTAGGCCAGCTCCCTTTCTGCCCCGAACCTCTCTGCTCCCTCAGTGCCGCTGCAACAGGCCCTTACCGTCTCACCACCAGGCTTTCCTACCATGGTGGACAGTGTCCCCTGAGCTTTCCTTGCTCCAGGTGTCCCATCACAACAAAAGTAACTAAGTCGGTAGTGAAGATCAGTTTTTAGCAAACTTTTCTTCTAGTTGGCCTGTAATAAACACTTTAAGCTTCATGGGCCTCCAGAGCCTCAGTGTGTCCCTTGCAGCTGCTGAAAAATGGACTCCTGTGTCTTGAAAGCAGCCACAGACAATTCAGAAATGACAGTGGGCTTGGTCCAATACAACTGTTTTTGTTTTTGTTTTTGTTTTTAATTTATGAAGACAGTTGACAGCATGACTCCAGCCCGGATCTCTTTGACAGTTTGCAGTGTTCTTTCTATTCTCTTCTCTCTCACTGTGTGCCATCTCCTAATGTGTATTATGATTTCCCTGTTTTATAAATGTAAAAATTGCATCTCAGCTTAGAAATATCCTGGCTCAGAAGGAGGAGGGAGGACTTGAACTCAAGCCCCTTAACGCCTGCTACTTTTCTTTCTATGGCTCTATGTTAGATGATGATTCTGGTTGGGAGGACCACCCAGACCTCCACTCCTTCCCTATGCCCATTCTCCCTGTGTCTGACAGAATGTCAGGGAGATGGTAAGAGAAAACACTGACACCAGCTATGGCATCGGGGGACATATTAAACCAGGTTCAGGGTTTAAATCCTATCCTTGTCACTTAGTAGTTGTGTGACCATGGGCAAGTCACCTCACATTTCTGTCCCTCATATGTCCCTCTGTATATATCTGTACATATGTGTTAGCTACCTACCCATTCACAGAAGGTCCAAAATTCACAAAGCAATTTGACTGTATGAAAAAGGCAGAGGTAGATGTGTCTTTTTTATAGGAGATACTTGGTAAGAGTCAGTGTCTCTCTCTCTCTTTCTCTCTCATTCTTACTCTCACTCTCTCTCCTTCCCTCTTCCTCTCTTTTTTGGGCCTGTTCAGGTATCTTGCAAAATGCCTGTCTGGTGGCTTCACCTGAGTAAGTCAGCCAAAATGAGCTCCCTGCTAGCCTGGCCAGTGAGGAGGATTAATTATTTCCGGCCCCTGGGGAGCCTTTAGCTCCATGGTCTAAGGTCTGTTGGGACAGTAATTGCTCCATATTAGCATTCTGAGCTGCTGTCCTCTGTGGTTCCAGGTTCTCAGGTGGCCCCTCAGCTCTCTGACTCTGAGATGGATGGGGCAGGTGCTTAGGTCCGTCTGAGAGGCTTGCTGATCTCCCCAGTACACCTGCTGCCTTGGAGACCCATCATGACTGTATCAACTCATGCTGTGTTTTGTGGGGGAAATGGCTTTCACATCCTCACACCTGCTGCGTGGAGGCTTTGAAGTCAAGTAATTAGGTGACAGGGACACAGCCAGGAGTCAGTGAGGCTGAACACTTCTCAAGTCTTTTCAATTTTCAGCACTAGAGGTGGGACCCAGAGGCAGCTTTCCTCCCTGCTTTCTGTTCTAGGGGTAATGAGCAAAGCCTGAGATTCTGCCAAGGGTCGGGAGAGGAGGCTGGGGACAGGAGAGCGGGCCAGTCATGCAGAGATGCTAGGCTTGAACTCTTAAGAGGCCTGTGATCTTGGCCTTTTTTTCCTCTGAAGAGTGGACATGATATTGGCGCCCACCGCAGGGCTACTGGGAGGAGTCATTGAAATGCCCTTGCGTCATACCGTTATCCAGGAACATTTTCCCCACCACCCCTCACTCCATCTTGTGGGAAATAGCTCCTGACACATGGAGGGGTGGGGTCAGAATTGAGACCAACTCTGATTGGATGGTACCTGTGATTTCACTAATGTGCTCAGCCCTTCAACAGTAACAGTTGCTGCTGCAGCTATATGGTATCCTGGCATGTTTCTGTCCCGACCATATACCTCTGTCAGCTGCAACAGAAACAAAAGCCAGCTTCTGGATATACTTATACACATATCCTGAGGCTGTCAGTTGAAACCCACACTCATCCAAGGGAGAAAGTCTCCCAGGGAGCATCAGTTAAGATGAGAGGGTGAGCATTTGTTTGCATGTGTTTTCAAGGATTGAAAAAAAAAATGTGGACACATTGAATGGGCTCGTAGGAGGGTTGGGTGCAGGATGGAACAGGGAATATGCAGGCTTCATGGTCAGGGAACAGAGAACACTCAGCAGAGAAGTGAGTCCAAGTGGAACCGAAGGACAGAAATGAACAGAGGCGGTGACATTTTAGAGAGGTGGCCCTGAAAACAAGGAGGTTGGAGGTCACTTCTCAAAAAAAGTAGACAAGACCGTTTCATTAGTTATTCAACTACTATTTGCTAGCTGGGTTCTTGATATTGCAGGTTAAGAAGCCATTATCTGTAGTGTAGGGACCGAAGTGTTTATAGATTTGACATGTATTCTGACTTTGGCATATTAATGCAAACCTTTGCATATATGAGATGCCTTGGAGATGAAAGCCAAGTCTAAACCCCAAACCCAAACCTCATTTGGGTAGTGGTTTTGGTGAGCTGAGGTTCAGCATGGGATGCTCCACCTATAGTTCAGTGGGTGATTAGAAAGTTTCAAATTGGAGGCCATTTTAGATATCAGATTTTTTGGGTTAAGGGTGTTTAATTTTAAAACATTAATATGATGTACCAAAGGGTTTTTACAGGCACTAGAAGCAATGGCAGGGGATCAAATGGACAAAGTCCCTGAACTGGTAGATTTTGTATGCTTGGTGGGTGGGAGATAGGTAGATGGTGAATGAAGTGAATTTGGCTAAAAACACTGGATGGTGCTGGATACTATAAAGAACACAGCAGACGTGGCACCATGCATGGAGACTTCCATCCTAGTGCTCAGGAGGCAGAGGCGGGAGGGTCTGGAGCAGCCTGAGCTACATAGGGAGACACTGTTGAAAGATACAAAGAAGGAGGGAGAGAGGAAGGGAGGGAAGGGAGAAATAAAGGAGGAAAAAGAGAAAAGGAAGGGAAGGAGAGAGGAAGGGAGGGAGGGAGGAGGGGTGGGGAGGGAAATAGGAAGGGCCATGGTAAGAGGCTACAGGCTTAATTCAAGGTGTCTGAGAAGTTCAAGCTCTCCTCTCATCTGGGTCTTGTCTATCATCATCTTCCCAGAAATTCATATATGTATGTGGGGCACATGGAAAGGAGTTACGATCAGAAGCCTAGCCTGCAAGGCAGGCGTGCCTATGACTCCTGATGCCACCACAGCTGGCCATGTGATCACGTCTGTGTCTCCATTTCTCTTTCTCTCTAAAATGGTTTAATAACAGTGACCTCAACAGACAGTTACTGTTGATTGTCAACCTGGACAATCTGGACTCTCTAGGAAACATACCCCCAGAGTGTCTGTGAGGGACTTTCTAGGTTCGATCAGTTGAGGTGGACAGACCCAGCTGAAGTGTTGCATGCACCGTCCCTTGGTCTGGGGCCCTGGATGGAATAAAAAGGAGGAAGTGAGCTGAGCATCAGCATTCATCTCTTTCTGCTTCCTGACTGTGGATGCCTCATGGCAGCTGCCTCATGCTCTTGCCTCCGTGCCTTCCCACCATGATGGACTGACTGTACCCCTTGGAACTGTGAGCCAAAGCAAACCCTTCCTCCCTTAAGTTTGCCCTTGTCGCCGGGTATTTTGTCACAGCAAGGAGAGAAGTCACTACTAAAACTGTTACAAAGAAAAAGACAAGGTAATTGCCCGCTAGAGTGCTCGCTCCTCCTTCACTTGGCCCATTATGAGTGCTAATTAGTGAAAGCTCACACCATTCCTGGCTTGACAAATTAACATTGGGATATCCCTCCACCCAGGAAGCAGAAACGTCTCCTTCGTGCCTAGCCCTCTCCCCCTCCACAACTCTCCTCTTAAGTGCCCACTTCCTGCGGAATTATCATCAGCTGTCTTGTTGGGAGGCTGAATAGAGAGATTAATGAGCTAATAGGAAATTAAGGCTCAGAGAAGCAATTTCCAGTTATCTAAATGGAGGCGTTTTCATCTAATCGGTTCACAAGTGTGGAAGGGAGCCGCTCGCAGAGTGGCCGGATGTCAGCACTGTCCCCGCATCATCTCACCAGTGTGCACTCAGCAGCCAGGGGGATGCTGTCGGGCTTTCCAGCTCTTGGTTCAGTATTTTCTGTGTCCCAGACTCCCCACAGCTCCTTCCATGGGAAGCTAAAGCCCTGAGGTCTCATTTATTGGAAATCCCTCAATGGCCTCTCCTTCCTTTTTTAATACAAAGCTTTTTATTGATTTTTTGTAAATTTCACATCATGCACCCTAATCCCACTTATGGTCCTGCCCTTTTGCCCTATACCCTTTTGGCCTTCTCCCCCGCCCCACCAAGAGAAAACAAAAGGGAAAAGAAAACAACAATAAAAACGACAACTGAACATCTTGTCATGGAAGCTGCAGTGTTTTTACAGTGTGTCTCACAGTACCCTCTTTTGTCCACATATCTTTACTTGTAAATGTTCGTTGCAATGAGTGATTGGTTTGGTTTGAGGCCTCTGTCTTTTGATGCACTATCCATACTGGATCCCGTGAGGATG